GTTTATCTGAACTCCCTTTACATACTTTAATGTTTATCTGAACTCTCTTTACATACTTCATGTTTATCTGAACTCACTTTACATACTTTCATGTTTATATGAACTCCCTTTACATACTTTAATGTTTATCTGAACTCACTTTACATACGTTCATGTTTGTCTGAACTCTCTTTACATACTTTCATGTTTATCTGAACTCACTTTACATACTTCATGTTTATCTGAACTCCCTTTACTTATTTCCATGTTTATCTGAACTCTCTTTACATACTTTAATGTTTATCTGAACTCACTTTACATACGTTCATGTTTATCTGAACTCCCTTTACATACTTTAATGTTTATCTGAACTCCCTTTACATACTTTAATGTTTATCTTAACACTCTTTACATACTTCATGTTTATCTGAACTCACTTTACATACTTTCATGTTTATCTGAACTCACTTTACATACTTCATGTTTATCTGACTCCCTTTACATACTGTAATGTTTATCTGAACTCCCTTTACATACTTTAATGTTTATCTGAACTCACTTTACATACTTCATGTTTATCTAAACTCCCTTTACATATTTCCATGTTTATCTGAACTCCCTTACATACTTTAATGTTTATCTGAACTCTCTTTACATACTTTAATGTTTATCTGAACTCCCTTTACATATTTTCATGCTTATCTGAACTCCCTTACATACTTTAATGTTTACCTGAACTCTCTTTACATACTTTAATGTTTATCTGAACTCACTTTACATATTTTCATGTTTATCTGAACTCACTTTACATACGTTCATGTTTATCTGAACTCACTTTACATACCTTAATGTTTATCTGAACTCACTTTACATACTTCATGTTTATCTGAACTCCCTTTACATATTTTCATGTTTATCTGAACTCACTTTACATACGTTCATGTTTATCTGAACTCACTTTACATACTTTAATGTTTATCTGAACTCCCTTTACATACTTTCATGTTTATCTGAACTCACTTTACATACTTCATGTTTATCTGAACTCCCTTTACATATTTCCATGTTTATCTGAACTCCCTTACATACTTTAATGTTTATCTGAACTCCCTTTACATACTTTAATGTTTATCTGAACTCCCTTTACATATTTTCATGTTTATCTGAACTCACTTTACATACTTTCATGTTTATCTGAACTCCCTTTACATACTTTCCATGTTTATCTGAACTCCCTTTACATATTTTCATGCTTATCTGAACTCACTTTACATACGTTCATGTTTATCTGAACTCACTTTACATACGTTCATGTCTATCTGAACTCCCTTTACATACTTCATGTTTATCTGAACTCCCTTTACATGCGTTCATGTTTATCTGAACTCTCTTTATATACTTTAATGTTTATCTGAACTCACTTTACATACGTTCATGTTTATCTGAACTCCCTTTACATACTTCATGTTTATCTGATTTCTCTTTACATATTTTCATGTTTATCTGAACTCCCTTTACATACTTTCATGTTTAACTGAACTCACTTTACATATTTTCATGTTTATCTGAACTCCCTTTACATACTTCATGTTTAACTGAACTCCCTTTACATACTTTCATGTTTATCTGAACTCTCTTTACATATTTTTATGTTTATCTGAACTCCCATTACATACTTTCATGTTTAACTGAACTCCCGTCAAATATGTGTGCATATATTTGAACTCCCGTTAAAAATGTCCGTTTATTTTCGAATACCTTTTAAACATTTTTGTATAGCTGTTTTGTACTTTCTAAGGTAACATATTCATAACTCACGACTAGCTGATAGATGAAGAGATATGAACGCGGAGCAAGATAACACTAAAAGGAAAGATACCGAAACAGAGAAACAATTGTTAAGTGCATTTCAAGGCTCCATTGTGCACACTCTTCCTTAGATTATTTAAGAAGTTGCATTGTAATAGTAACAAGTAAACAATTGTTGTCTTCATATATTTATTAAACTAGGTATCCAGGGCGCTTCGTGTCAATCTTCTATTTTAACTTGTAATTGTTACTCTTTCGTCGATTTCCCCTCCATGGATTTTATAAAAATCAAAATTTTTCCAATTCTAAACCTCAATGTAAAGCTTTCCTTGACTCTGAGGTCCCATTGTTGTCAATTTTTCAGTATTTTCTCTTCCATTATACGATTATAAATATTTTATTTTGCGGCTTTATAATTTTTTTTGTAAATCTGAGCATCCTTATAACCCTTTCCTGGGATCATGTGAGGTCCCACAAAAAACTTGGGACTCTATAGATTTTGAATTTTATTGTAAGATTTCTACTTAATAAATATATCTCCAGAAATGTTCAGAACCAAGAACTTCTTTGTTGGAATTCTGGTTTGTATTTTAATCTTCATGCAGACCTAATTTGTTTATTAATTCCTCATCATAAGTTATGACCTTAATCGAGGGATTAAGCACAGATCCTTAAAAAAAACTCCCCATATTGGTTATCGAGATCTAACCTTCAAGATTAACGACAGTTTTGACCTCTGAGCATACTAACCAAATACAAGTTACAAATTAAAAAAATCTTTCGACATTTTTTAATAAAAAGAAATAAAAAATGATTAACCTTTCAGAATATAGTCCTACATAAACCTTGATAGTAACTTTACATTCACTAAAAACCTCAAACAAAAATGTGTTTAAAACCGTTTATTCATATTTATCATATTACAGGGATATTTATAACTGTAGTAATTAGAATGAAACTAAAATTTATTTAATGGTATATTATCCAAAAAGCATCAACCTCAAAACATTAAACTAAAAATTTTAATATATTTAACTCACATATTATTAAAAAACAAACTCTTTTAGTGAGCAGGCCCCCTGAAAAATATATTATGAAAAATAAATGAAAAAAAATCTATATCATTATTTGAAAAAAAATTTATTGGCACTAATAAACTTTCAAACCCGAAAAAATTTAAATTTGAAATGAAATGAAAATTGTATTTAAACTATTAATGAATGGAGTTGTAGGACTACATATATTGGGTAAAATACAACGGTAAAATATATGTCTGATGTAACTTATGTCAGAAGATTGTTGTGTTTCAACTGATATATATATATTATATGTATATATATTTATTATTTGTTCATTGGAGTTTACCAGGGCCGTAAATAAGGTTTTTGTAGGGGGTAAATTTTAACAATTTTATTTCACCCCCCCTCCCCCCCGACCATGTACCATGTACCATTCATGATTTACATCGAATTTTAGGTTTTAGCTGGGCTTGATTTCAATTTCCCGTCATCTCTGGCATTAACAAACTTAATCAAATAAAAGGCTTCCTTTACCATGCTTACAGCTTTCATCTTTCTTAATTTAAACCCTTTAGGTTGTCCACTGTGATTTGAGACTTTTTAACAGCTATTGCTAATAAAATCGTAACATCACTAATTGCATAAATGAGTAAAAATGGATTTATTTCCATCATTGTCCTTTATTATACATATATATATATGAATATATGTGAATTTCACTCTATTAAAAAAGAAAAAATTTCTTACTTTTTAAAACTTAATAATCATGATCTTCAAGCTTTTTGTTTTGCCCTCCCCCTCGAAGAGCTCTATACCTAATTTGACATAAAGTGCATTAAATAATCGATTTTTCGGTAAAATTTATCTATGTTACTTTGTTGAAGTTGATCGAGTAAAATTATCTGCACGAAGTGCCAACAATTTGTTTATATTTTTTCTCTTAATGCTAATCATGGAGAATGTATAAGATCAAGTTTCTAATCTATACGGGGATATTTAAGTTCCCAAGATTCTAGTAGGGGGGG